ACCACACTGTTCTGATTATTGTAACTTTTAAAAATGTTTTATTTTATTTTTAATTGGCGAAAATTTTATATATACTATACAACCTGATGTTTTGAATATATATACACATTGTGGAATGGTTCAATTGAGTTAATTAACATATGCATTATGTGACATATATCATTTTTGTGGTGAGAACACTTAAAATCCAGTTTCAGTATATTTCAAGAATACAATATATTGTTATTAAGTACATTAATTATGCTGTGCAATAGATCTCTTTAACTTATCTTCCCATCTAACTGAAACTCTGTATCCTTTGATATTGTAGCTTTTTAAGAAGTCTCAAAACAAGTTGTATAAGTCCTCCAACTTTGTTGTTCTTTGTCAAGTTTGATTTAGTTATTCTAGGTCTGTTGTATGTCCTTATTAATTTTAGAATAAGGTTGTCAATTTCTTCAAAAAAATCATCCTACAATTTTATTTTTACCCTTTGTTTTAACATGGAGAATCTTGGCAACATTTTAAAAAATCAATCCTTTTTATTTTACTTATTCAACAAAATTTATTAAGCACTTACTCTTTCCTGGGGTCTATTCCAGTATTCTCCTGATATAATAGTGAACAAAACAGCCACAACTCCCTCCTTTATAGTGAGGGAAGACAAATAATAGATAAATAAAACTAGATTTAAGGGCTATGGACAAAAATAAAAAGAAGACAAGGTAATAGAAAGTGATTGTAGATACAGGGAGAAAGGCTATTTTAAATAGGGATGTCTGGGAAAAGCTTTATAATTACGTGACATTTGAGCAGAGGCCTGAATACAGTTGACCTTTAAACAGTGTGGGTTTGAACTGCGCAAATCCACTTATACATGAATTTTCTTCTGCCTCTGCCACTCCTGAGACAGCAAGACCAACCCCTCCTCTTCCTCTTCCTCATCTTCAGCCTACTCAATATGAAGATGACAAAGATGAAGATCTTTATGATGACCCACTTCCATGTAATGAATATAAATATAATTTATCTTCTTTGTGATTTTCTTAACAAGCTAGAGAAAAGAAAATGTTAAGAAAATCACAAGGAAGAGAAACTATATTTACTATAAAATATGACATAGAAAGTATGTATTAATTGTTTATGTTATTGGTAAGGCTTCTAGTCAGCAGCAGGCCATTAGTAGTTAAGTTTTTGGAAAGTTAAAAGTTATACATAGATTTTTGACTGCCTGAGAGATTGGTGCCCCTTACACTCATGTTGTTCAAGGGTCAGCTGTACATTAAAGGGATGAGCTCTGCAAATATCTGAAGGCACATCATTGATAGCAGAGGGAGCAGCATGCCCAAAGATCCTGAGGTAGGAGTGAACCTGCCAAACTCAGGGAACAGCAAGGAGGCCTGTGTGTCCAGAGTGCAGTGAAGTAGGGAGAGGCAGTTAGAGACGCAGGTGCCATGGTCCCTGGCATGGACTTGTGTGATGTGAGCTCTGGTACCGCTAGGCTTTAAAATGCTATTGCTGGCTGCTGGGTAGAAATAGACCATTGTGAGCCAAGAGTGGAATCAGGGAAATTGGTTAAGAAGAGATTGCAGTAGGCCAAGCAAAAGACAATGGTGACTCTTTTTCTTGACTTTTAATTCTTTCTCTACTGGCAATTAATCGGTTTGGAATTTTGACAACATGGGCAAAATGTGCAGTTTTACAAGAACTAGATCTTTCCTTATGTAACTCTGTGTTAAAAATGAAACAGTCAATGAGGTTCTAATTTGTGAGGTTCATTCCTGTTGATAACCACTCATGTTGAATTCCACATTCTTTAATGCCTTAACCATTGGTAGATTTCAGTAGCATTTTTTTGGTTTTTGAGAAACACATTTCTTAAAACTTGCTCACTTGATTATTCTCTTTACATTGTTTCTTTTCTTTTCTTTTCTTTCTTTCTTCTTTCTTTCTTTCTTCTTTCTCTCCTCCTCCTTCTCCTTCTCCTTCTCCTTCTCCTTCTTCTTCTTCTTTTTTTTTTTTTGAGATAGAGTCTCACTCTGTCACCCAGAATGGAGTGCAGTGGTGTGATCTCGGCTTATTGCAACCTTTACCTCCCAGGTTCAAGCAATTCTCCTGCCTCAACCTCCTGAATAGCTGGGATCACAGGCACCCACCACCATGCCTGGCTAATTTTTATATTTTTAGTAGAGATGGGGTTTCACCATTTGTCCAGGCTGGTTTCAAACTCTTGACCTCAAATGATCCACCCGATTTGGCCTCCCAAAGTGCTGGGATTACAGGCATGAGCTACCATTCCAGGTGCTTCCTTCCCTCCCTCTCTCCCTCCCTCCCTTCCTTCTTTCTTTCCTTCCTTCCTTCCCTCCCTCCCTCTCTCTCTTCTTTCTATCCCTCCCTCCCTCCCTCTCTTCCTTCCTTCTTCCTTTCTTCTTTCCTTTTTCTTGAGACAGAGTCTTGCTCTATTGCCCAGGCTGGATTACAGCAGTGCGATCTTGAGTCAATGCAATCTCTGCCTCCCAGGTTAAAGCAATTCTTGTGCCTCAGCCTCCCCAGTAGCTGGGATTACAGGTTCCTGCCACCATGTCTGGCTAATTTTTGTATTTTTATTAGAGACAAGGTTCTACCTTGTTGGCCAGGCTGGTCTCAAACTCCTGACCTCAAGTGATCTGCCTGCCTCAATCTCCTGAAGTGCTAGGATTACAGGTGTGAAGCACTATGCCCGGCCCCTATTGTTTCTTTTAAATGTTAAATAGAATGACCTAATTCTGGCCTCATTTGAAATGCTTTTGAATATATTAGTGTATACAGTTAGTACTATTGGCATGTTAGTCTGCAGTCTGGGAAAAACATGGTAGTCAGTGCTGTGATGACGTGTATTCAACAATGATAATTTCAGATTACAACATTGTTTTTCTTCTCTTCTTTATTAGTAGTATTCCTTCTAGAAAACCTGTATTTGAGTTAAAAGAGATAGCAAATCCATTCATTTCTGATACAGTAGTAGATTAGTTATGGGATAACAGTGAAACATTTTCAATCATAATAAATTTGATACTGGATTTTTAGATTAAACTGTAATGACCAATTTATTTCCTAATCTATTTAATTTAATCACAGTTCATTAATATGTTATAATGCTTTAAAAAAGTTCTAATTAAGGTAGTATCATAATAATGAGATCATAACTATATCATGACAGTAAAATTTTTAGCTTTGTGTAAATATTTTTGTTAAGTTCAAAATAAAAAAGATCCAACCTAAAGAGAATGTTTTTCTTTATTATATAATCCATGTAAATTACTTGTTTTTAAGGTCCCAAAACAGCTTTTCTGGTTTAAATTTATCTATTGCTCTCCTAACTACATGTGGTGAATGAGGGAAGGGAAATTCTTCAGGATTCCCTGACGAAAATAGACGATATTATCATCCAAACCATTTTGGGAGATCTGGACACAGTGGTGTGCCTCTTTAGTTCCAGCTACTCAGAAGACCAAGGCAGGATGACTTCTTAAGACCAGGAGATTGAGACCAGCCTGGGCAACAGAGTGAGCCCCTGTCTCTAAAGAAACAAACAAAAGCTAACTTTCAGGATAAAAGACTGAAAATTTCCATCTACCACTGGATTGAGGGTAGGGACCAGGCTCCAGGCTTATTTCATCAGCCCACCTCTCTGATGTGGCAAAGCCAAGTCTTCCATATCCTATCTCACCACTAAAGTGAGCAGTTCACTTAACTATGGTCTAGTCCACAAGGGCCCTTAATCATCTGACCACACTGGCTGATTTTTAAAGATATACCTTAAAATTCAGGGACTAAGTTTTTAGGGACTAATAGTATGCAGTCAATGGCCTGTCTCCTATTTCAAATTTTCTTTGTGCAATCATCCATGAAAAACATAGAATGCAGTTTGCTACTGATTAAAGATCACTTCAGCTGGATGAATTCCAAGCACCTGGTAGCACTAAATTGATATATTTAAGGGAACAGTTTATTAACAAAACAAATGGAATAAACTGGGTAAAAATATACCTAATAGAATATGAGTATTTCAGAACACAAAGACATAGTGCATTTTTTAGAATTCTAAAGTCAAACATATATAGGATATAGCTGGTGTTGTACTTTATTTATTTCTTGATTTTCCTTTTCTCCTTATAAAACTAACATTCTGGCAGTTTTAGAAATTGCACTGGTTTAATAAATAGATGCTCTTAATTCTTTTCTTACTGTGGCAGTTAATTTGGGTAATGTCAGTCTGTTACTATTGGAATTGCTATTCAACTGAAATGTATTATGATCTGCTGCACACATAAAAATATTACATTATAATGCGCAAAACTGAGCTAAACATAATTGTGCCTATACTAGCGTGGTGACAGGAGGCGTCTTCTATAATGGTAGTGATTTCCATATCAGTGATAATTTTATTGTCTGATTTGCATTGTATTTTCCTTGCTGCCATATTGATATCCAGAATGTGTCTATCCATTCCTAGGATAGATGCATGCAGATGCCAAAAAAAATCTAGTTAACTCCCTCTCCTACTCCTTGAAAAAATCTTAGTAATTAGAAAGGAAAAAAGATGATAGCAGCCAAATTCTGTCCCCAAAAGCTTTATCTTTTTTTCCCCTAAATCCCTTTAATAGGTTAATGTACTTGCTGAATGTGTCTTCTGAGAACAACTTAATGGCTCAACTGTTTATCGAGCCTTTGTTATGTGTAAGGCATTGTGCAAAGCACTGAAGGATTTAAAAGGGACTAAAATGCCCCCAGTTCTTCAAGGAACAGTTTTATAAAGTTGGCTACTCCAATACTCACAGTGAAAAGCTCCAGAAATCACAGTAGGGAAAATGTGTGGCTTATGATTTATGGTAAGGTCAAAAATTATAGCAACATTTTTGAAGCAAAAACTGCTGCAAGAGATTGCTATAAACAGGTAAATTTTAAACCAATACAAACTATCCAATCTATATTATCATACTTTCTATGCATATAGAGTCTGAACAAGCACCTCTCTCAGATTATAAATTCCCCTTTATCTGCAAACAGTCAATTACCTGCAGATGAAGTTTTGACAGTTACGAATGACTATTTGATTTTTGACCCAACTGGTTCTTGGGTTTTGGTTTCAAGTCCAGCCTTCTTAAGTCTCGAATTGCCTTTTTCAATGGGGACTCCAGCTTCTCCCAACTCTTTATTTGTTCAAAGAAAAATGTTTCTCTCTGATGTTTTATCCATGCCTGTTCTCAAGAGAAACAAAGCCTTTGCTAAAGTTTTGCTAGTTTTAGAGATATTCAAATTCCAGCATCTTAACTGTAACAACAGAATAAAAAGTTTTCTCAATTCAAAAAGTCTCCTTCATCTTTTTTTAACCTTGGTAACATTGACACATCTTGGGTGTAAAGTCCTTAAAAGGTTGCAGATACCAGTTATGGTCTTTAGGACAGGGTAGAAGATGATTTACTTTGAATAAAAAGGTCATGAGAAGGAAAAGGCCCTGAATTGGGTTTTTATTTCTATGTAAGTTTCTAATGATTTCAGTTGAGGACAGTTAGAGGAAGAAGGGTTCTGTGGTTTGGGACAGAGAAAGGAGGCAGGCATAGAAGTTGAGTTGGTTTTGCAATAAAGTTTTGGGCCTCAGAAGCAGTTCCTGGATTTGGTATCAGGGTTGGGTGTGGGCGGAGCTGAGGCTGGCCTTAGAACCCCATACTAGCCTTAGGCAGTGGACAAATTTCTGAGGAGCACATATCTTTTGCCAGAGAGTGGCTGAAGCATTTCCCATCTCAGGTTGTAAATTAGCCAACCAGGGTGAACCTCATAAGCAGAAATTAACAACTCAAGAGTCATAAAACAGCCTTTGAACATTGAATATACTAATTATGGAAAAATCAAAGTTAAAATACTCCTTCACCTGCAAATTAGCTTCAACAAAGAAAGGAGCTTGATGAAACTTTGAAGAATCACTGAAAAGAATCTCAGGGAAAAGAAAGAATAAACAGCAATTAATCAGACAGTTTGCAATGCACAAATGTTTTTTATATTTTTAAATCTTCTCATCCTACTTAACAGAACATAAACATATGAAAGCTTTCAGGGGTTTACTTCTGACTCTAGTTAACCATAAGATCTTAAGTTTTCTTCATCTGCAAATTCTATTATTTTGGAGTTTTTAGACACTTGCACATTGAAGCTGTAAAATTAAAAAAAAAACACATAAATCGGAAATAAATAAGTCTGTCTCTCAAATGGGCATCATCGGAGCTTTTTAGTCAAGAAGTGCTAGGTAATTTGCGACCAAATCATCTTGGGCACAATTCATAGAGGGAGTTCTTTCCCCTTCAATAAATGTGCCTCTTTTTTTCTTCTTACACTCTCCACCTGTTACCCCTTCCTCCCTCATGGCCTTTCTTTGTCGTTTTGTCTACCTGATCTGTAGCTTTGCTTTGTCAGCCCTGTTTAGCCCCACAGTCTAAGAAGGCTCTTCACACTTGCTGCAAATGGTCCCACACAATGAACATCTGAGGTTTTGAGAATTGCTTGGGTAAAGAAACAAGTGGTACTGTTTTACTGATTCATAGTCATTCCTTCTACACTGTCTTTTTCTTAGAAAAATGACAGCTGGCTGGGTGGGATGGCTCACGCCTATAATCCCAGCACTTTGGGAGGCCAAGTCGAGTGGATCACCAGAGGTCGGGAGTTTGAGACCAGCCTGACCAACGTGGAGAAACCCTGTCTCTACTAAAAATATAAAATTAGCCAGGTGTGGTTGTATATCCCTGTAATCCCAGTTACTCAGGAGCTGAGGCAGGAAAATCCCTTAAACCAGGGAGGCAGAAGTTGCGATGAGCTGAGATCCTGCCGTTGTACTCCAGCCTCGGCAACAAAAGTGAAACCCCATCTCAACAAAAAAAGAAAAAGGAAAATGAAAACTTCCAGCACTACTGGCATTAATTAATTAATTTTTGTTAATGCTTCAGACATAATTTTTTCATTTCTAATACTACTATTTAGGAAAATATGGAATTACACAATCAGATTGATGACTTTATAGTCCTATTGTAATGGAAATACATCCATCCATTTTGGAGGATTCTGGAGGACCCCATGGCTAGTTCTGCAGAGAGTGTTCAAGCCAGGCAGTAGCGTAGAGTCCTAAGTGGTTTGTAAGTTCTGTTCTCTGTAGCTCTTCTTTTAGAAGATCTCGCCTCTCACTCTCCATGGCCTGGCTTTGTTTGCTACTAATTTTCCTGGAGTTTTGAAGAGAATAAACCTTACGTATTCACTATGGTACTGAGAGGATTGGATAGCAAATATTTTTGAAGAAACTTAAAGGAGAGAAATTTCTCCTAAATTGATATAGTCTATTTCTTGGAAGTACAATTTTTTTCCACTGGGTTGTATGGGCCTTTTCTACTGAGCGCTCTTGCCCCCTCCATCTGTTTTCACCTAATGTAGCTCGTAGACCTGCATCTTTTTGTATTTATGGACTGAATAGATTCCATAACAGGTGCATAGTTGGAACTACTGTTGCTACTTCTGCATAAAACATTTATATTGTTAGCTGAAGCATTTAATATATGTTCTGACAAGCTTTAGGTCCTATAGAAGGAAGGATGGAGAAAGGCTATGAAAACCTGAATTTCTCTTTCCAGGAGACCTTTGAAAAGGCAAGCTTGAGTAGCAGCAGCAGTGGGGCAGCCAGCCTGAAAAGTGAACTTTCAGAAAGCGCAGATCTGCCCCCGGAAGGCTTCCAGGCCTCCAATGGTAAAGATGAAGACAGGGCCTGTGATGAAATCCTGTCAGATGATAACTTCAACCTGGAAAATACTGAGAAAGGTACTGCTAGTGGAAGTGCGTCAGCATGAATGCATTCTGGACTCTTTCCCGTTTCAAGACTCATTTGCTTTTTTATTGTTTTTATTAATGCGCAGATATATATTCAGAGCTAGATGATGAATTGGACATTTCGGATAACTCCAGCAGCTCCAGTTCAAGCCCTCTGAAAGAATCTACATTCAGTAAGCTTTCTTTTATCAGTTTGCCATTTGTGGGATTCTGGAAGACAGTGGTTTGGAAATCATACTTGAGTCAAGCAAATATCACCATATACATAACCCAGTTTTTCAGGTGCAATGCTGATTAGAACAGATGTGTCTGTCTCTCTGACAGAGCCCAAAGGTTAGCCAGCACATCGGTTTTATATTTTCTCAACTGTCAAATGAATAGTTTTGTTATTTCTACCAGCAAATGCAGGTTCTAGCTAGAGAGTCAGGATATCTAACTTGGAGACAGCCGATAACCACAGGAGTAGTGAACATGGCCTTTGATGAGCCTGCTGGTTAGATGAATTTTAAGCCTATAGAAGAAATTAATCTTGATGTAGACTAATTTCTGTACAGTTTTATTTATGTTAATCTAAAGGGATGTGTTACATTTAAAACAATAAAAAATACTGGGATATGGGAAAGAAAAGGAAAAGGTATATTTAGATAAAATATAAAGATTATAAAGAGAGATAGAATCAGATGCACTCAACAAACCTGAAACTTAAAGAGAAGTTAAAATAGAAAATAAGAAGAACTTTTTTTTTAAAAAAGAGTAAGTTGATAAAATATTAAAAACTGTAGATAGAAATATTCTGAAATAAATTAGGTGAAAATAATTCTCTCTCCTCAGTGACTATACTATGAAAATCTCATAAAAGAACACTTAAAATAGCCTCTCTAAGGATCAAAGTAGAGCCCTAAGGATTTAACTACATTCTTTGTCCTTTCCAAACTTAATTGGTCCATCAAAACGATGACTAGATGTTCCAGATTTTCTGGGGCAACCCCAATTTTCAATATTCTGTCCTATTTTCTCTGTAAATCCCTGCCTTCTAGGTGTATTAATTTGTGATTAGGAAAACATGAAGATCATACAGGAAAAAATATTTATGCATGTAAACATATACAACAACTCCAGAAGAAGTTCATTACTAAGTTCAGTGTTCTATATACCTGGCAGCAATGGTGGGAGGGTTAGTGGGGAGGCAAGAAAGAGATGCTTGGCCCTTAAATTGCATGTGGTAACTTGGCGAGGCTGGTTATGACATTTCATTGCATGACATTTTATTGTGTTTTCTTGGATATTAGTAACAGGGTTGTTTTTGTTTGTTGAGCACATTTGCTTTTTAAACAAACCTGACAAATAAATAACAATTTGTCACTATTTTAGCTCATGCTATCCTAATCAAAGACAGTTTTTACAGTGTGTACTGTTATATCGAACTGAGCATAGAAAGTCAACACCAGAACAAAAGTATGCCAAATTGCAGGGTTTATTGCTGGTGACCACGGAGGACTCACATCTCTCCAACCCGTGGCCCCGAAAGCAGAGAGACAAGACCTTTTTATACCTGCAAAAACCACCTTGGGAGTGGGGGTGGAGATGGGAATGAAAGCTGTCAATCACCTCCCAGGCTAAAAACAAGGGTGAGGGGGGCTCCGGACATTCCAAGGGCCAGGGGACTATTTGACATTCTGATTGTCATTTAAGGGGTTCACAGATGCTAAGATTAGCATTCGTTTACACATCGTCTGGGTAGGGGTGGGATCCACAGGTTTTTATTTACTTGGCGCCAGGATGGACTTATCTGGGAGTGCTTACTCTAGTAAACAAAGGCCAGCAATTCTGGCAGTTACAGATAGGAGAATGTATGCAGCTTTACCTTTGTGTAAAGTAAATTAGCAGTTTACAGAAACCAAGGTTAGCAGTCCTTATGAGGAGAATGGAAACAGCTTTGTTCTTTTATAAAACGGCATCGTACAGGTTCTAACTCTAGGCCAGCTATATCACATACAATTGCTCAGGTAACAGAAATTCAGCGTCATTTTTGGTTTTTGTTGTTGTTGGCTCTGAGTAAAGCCATGTTTGTTTCTTGAACGTTGTTTGACTGCTTTCATGCTACAATGGCAGCAGAATTCAGGTGTGACAGACATACTGTGGCACGCAAAGCCCAGAGTATTTCCTGCCTGCCCTTTACAGAGAAATGTGTGACCTTAGAACAATATGAGAGTGTTTATAGACAAAGCCATTCATGGAATATGTATGTTCTTTATTATTTTGAATGTTTAAAACAATTATTTAAAAAATTATACATATTTATGGATGCATGTGATATTTTGATACATGCATACAATGTGTACTCATCAAATCAGGGTAATTCAGATATCAATCACCTCAAATAGTTATCTTTGTG